AATAATAATAATAATTACAATAAAACGTCAATATCATCATCATCATCATCATCATCATCATCATCATCATCATCATCATCATCCAGTGCAATATCTGCGGCAGACATCGGTGATTATTGTTCTCCATTCATTCCTTTGCTCGGATGCTCTTTTAAAAAAAGCTACATAAATAAATAAAATTAGACAAATACAAATCGTGTTTAAAAACAAAAAAATTTAAAATAGTTTGATAATTCCAATTCTCAACAACAAAAAATAAAAAATCTGGATTACTATGACTAGAACACTGTGACGTTTACGTAGAACCCTTTGTAAAATGTCATTGAAATATTGGACTCCTTTGTCTTCGGTGTGTCTCTTTCGCGAATGTCGTCAAGGCAACCCAAAGTAGTCCCTAGAAGATCTAACACCCACGATGCGCGTACTAATTCAAGTAAGTTCCGAAGTAGGGGCCCAAGTTTACTGTTACCAAATCTTCCATACAGTATATTAATTGATGTGTATGATAAATTATTTTTAAAAAACCCTGTGTAGGCTTATTCCTTTTGATTTACTCTCACGGCGTGAGCTACTTAATTTCCAAGCCATAGATTTGTATTGACCTAGATCGCGCACAACTATACTGTCATGGTGAAATAAGACTTGCCAATAGTGGTGCCATCCAACCAGAGGGACGAAGATAAACTACAGCACAGTGGTATCATCCAGAGAGAAAACTGTTGTTTGATGTATTTATTAGAATCTATACACAGACGTCTGGATAGTTTTAGGGCCGTAAAGCTGTCACAAAAACAAAAAACGAAAACAGAGAGTATAATCAACCAAAAGCATAATATCATTTCAAGACAGTTTGTAGGTGGAAAGAACGATTAGCGCAATAAAATATGAGCCACAGAGGCAGCAGCAATAACAACAACAACAACAACTGTACACCACATTGACGAAAGAAAAGAAGCCCCACTGAAAACAACATCCACATCATCATTACTATCTGTAATGGTGATAACGTAGCGACAGCAACAACAACAACAGCAACAACAGTAACAATAATAATAAAAACAACAGCAACAACAACAAAAACAACAACAACAATGACAACAATAACAACAACAACAATGATACCAACAATAACGATTCGAAAATAACAACAACAGCAACAAAAAGAACAACAACATCAACAACAACAACAACCACAACAACAAAACAACAGCAGCAACAACAACAACAACAACAACAACAACAACATTGAAATAGCATTGGTAAGTTTTGAGCACAAAACACGTCCACAAGGTTAGAAACAAAAAAAGCTAAAGTTTTCTACATTTGGAAATGAAATGAAAATATTTTATAGGACGTGTTTCGCTTCCGAGAGGGTTCCTACTGGACAAGGATAGGGGTTGTCATAATTACATTTGTACTAGCTACATACAAGTTCTTCTTCCTATGCGTATATTTGTAAGTGTGTGTGGTTTTTAGCATGTAGAAGTGTGTGCGAGCGTGTGTGTGTGGGG